ATTTATTTAATTAGTATTAATGTGTATTATGAATATTAATTATTAATTCTTATGGTTTTGCAAGATGTTTCCTCAATTATATGAAAACTCTGTAAATTCCACAAAATTAATAAATTACAGTAGACAAACCCATGTAAAAACATTAATTTGTTTTTTATTGATTTTTTGAGAAGTGTATTTTTTTGTTGTGAGTGGTTTATGACTTGCTGTGGCTTTTCAATGTCAGGCTTTCAGAGCATTCAAACATCCCATAATGAAGCTTAGTGAGAATTCAAGGTCCAATGCTACAAAACACACTATGACTCGACTGCACACTCCACTGTGGAGCTCAAACACACACTCAGGCTTTAATTGAATCTGTTCTGTAGCTGTTCTGCTGCTCGCAAAAAACCAAAACAATGTTGATCAGGATACAATTGAATGTGTTTTTCACTATTAGCTACACAACCGCACTGGCGGCGATGGGTGCCCTGTCTGTGAGACGGCCGTGGTTTGGATTGCACGTCCCTGTGTGTCCAAACTGCCAGGTTTGCTCGTTCATTTGAATTTGCTTTTGCTTTTGTGCCGTGTTTGAATTTGGCCGTGATTGTGATCAGGACAGAAATATGCGTTGGCTTCCAGACTCACTGGCAACCTCTAAATGAGAGCAAATGAAAACTGGGAAGCCTGCAATAGAAGCAGTTGGGTGAATGGACTCGGAGCAGAAGATGAAAGGGTCGAGAGAGTTCTGCGTGTGTGTGTGTGTGTGTGTGTCAGCCCTCTGATGTTACAGGTGTTATTGTTTAATCCACTCACTCTCTCCAGCTTCCATTTGCTAACATGTCTCCCCCTCTTTTCACACACACTCTTGTGTGTGTATGTGTGTGAGAGAATTTGTCTCTATCTCATGTGTTTCCTCCAGCCTGAGTAAATGTCAGAGCAAGCTGCTGCTCTTCCCAGACCACGCAGTGGGAGACGGACCAACCTCATCGCCGTGGCAACCCTCTGTTCTGGCTCAAAGAAAGAGTCGGGGGCAGAGAAGAAAGGAACTTTTATCCCTCTGAAACCCCACTACTTTCCTGGTCCCCCTCGTCCTTGTGTATTGTAGCCCAGGCCTGAACCATGTGGCCGAGCTCCCAGGACTCACTGTGACTGGAGATGAGGGAGAGAGGAACGGTAGAAAGGGATTTTATTAAAAAAAAATAATTTCCAAAAATGTAATAAGACGGCAGAAATGTTGGCAGCGTGTCAATGGGACACTGTACTGTTGGTGTGTTAGACGCTGGATTCTCATAATTTATGACACACATCCTTTTTTAATCTGAAGGAATACGTCCTGCCAGAGACGTTCCTCTCTTGTGGTACAGAAAACTTCACTGGAAGTAGCATCAAGGCTATTAGATTTCCCAGAATACTTCCTTGACTCGGAGCTATTGTATTTGCTTTCAATTTATAGCAGCAGGAGGCTGCCTGATACCTTTCTTCTCAGGTAATGGCTTTCTTCTCCGAGCAGACTTGTCACCTTTAACAAGCAGTGCACCTGAAGGGATTTCAGTGGTCATAAGGAGTAGTCGCATTAGCCTGGCCAAAGACTGTCACTCATATCAAAAGCGAAGACTTTTTTTTCCCCCTTCTTTTCCAGCACAATTGGCTCTGGCGCTGAGTTGAGTTGGGGGAATGACAGCATTTACCTATTTCTCTGCCTCAGGGGACGGAACGAGACAAAAACTGAGTGTGGGAGTGAGGGAGGCAGAGTGGCAGTCATGGTCAAAAGTGAAAAACCATCTGGTTGTGGGGATGGGAACCATATTTAACACTGGCAGAAGCCCAGTCTCTCTGATACACCCAGGACCCTTTCAACGAGTTTGTCCAATTTCCCTGTCATTACATCTGTTTGTTTTGCTGCTGTCGTTTTTTTTTTTCATCTTCTTCTTTCTCTTCCTTCTAAATCAGCATGCACTTAATGCTCACCATTTCCTTTCATTTCCATCTGTACAGACACAGGGTGGAGGTCATTTTTTTTTACAGGATTCTCAGCTGTATTTGTCCATTCTCTGTCTCTGTGTCACAGGTGGATCAGTCCCGCTCTTTGACTTTTTCAAACTCTGCTGTTTATGTACAAATGTACAGACCTTTGTCCTTTTTATGCAACCCATTCATTTCAACCACATCGCTATCAGTGCCGGCTGTTGTATCACATCTGGAGTCTATCTGTCCAAATAAAAGATGGCGGTCATTCTCCTTGACCTTTGTCACGATTACAGCTGTAGCTGCTTCTACATGGCGTTTCCGTTGGTGTGCGTCTGAATAACGGGGGGGAAAAAATCAAATCAGTCATGCAGAGCCACCTACACAAACGCACAGGTGTGGAGGAGGGCAGTATTTTTATGGTAATACTTATTCATGTGGAAAATGTAATTTTTGACCCTAATAATCAGCTGTCGTACAACTGCTCGTCCTCTCCTTTTGAACCATGATGCTCTGGCCATGTTGGTGGAAGTGAGGGGAGGGGGAGGGGGAGGGGAGTGAAGCTAAGGAAGGTGTCTTTGACAAAAGATCAATGTGAGATGCTGTGTTTGGTAGATCATGATATACTGCATATACGTGTTACATGTTTTTTCAAGGTGCTTCTCTGTGAGCGTGCGCCTTGTGTTGGTTTGGACCCCGGTGAATGCCTAATGGTGTTTTCTGCTCGGCTGACCGTGCCGGTGTGTGCCGGCATTCAGGTTGCACATGACCCCATGTTCCACTGGGCGGTGTTTGTCTTTCATGTGGCCTGTTCAGTCCCCCCTCGAATGTGGGTCAAAGGATAAAAGAATAACCTCCATCAGCTATGACACATACACACACTGACACACACACACACACACACTGGCCTCCTTGAAAAATGACTTACTGGAGATGCGAGCGGTGACAAGGTGGTATGTGGAGGACGACTTTAAAAATTCACCTTAGCTAGCAGCAGACACAGTGTCCTCATCGAGACGCTGTCCCTCAAACAACAAAAGTAACGTCTCCCGCCCTCTCTTTTTGAGCCATGTGGCTCGGGCGTTGTGGGTGGAGGGGGGGGGGGGGGGAGGGGGAGGGGAGTGAAGCTAAGGAAGGTGTCTTTGACAAAAGATCAATGTGAGATGCTGTGTTTGGTAGATCATGATATACTGCATATACGTGTTACATGTTTTTTCAAGGTGCTTCTCTGTGAGCGTGCGCCTTGTGTTGGTTTGGACCCCGGTGAATGCCTAATGGTGTTTTCTGCTCGGCTGACCGTGCCGGTGTGTGCCGGCATTCAGGTTGCACATGACCCCATGTTCCACTGGGCGGTGTTTGTCTTTCATGTGGCCTGTTCAGTCCCCCCTCGAATGTGGGTCAAAGGATAAAAGAATAACCTCCATCAGCTATGACACATACACACACTGACACACACACACACACACACTGGCCTCCTTGAAAAATGACTTACTGGAGATGCGAGCGGTGACAAGGTGGTATGTGGAGGACGACTTTAAAAATTCACCTTAGCTAGCAGCAGACACAGTGTCCTCATCGAGACGCTGTCCCTCAAACAACAAAAGTAACGTCTTTCTAAATAAACCCTCGTTCTGCTCACCCTTCACCTGCCTTTTATTTTCCTACATCCCACAGCTGACCTTGCCTAAACCAGATAAGAATGTTGAATTTTTTTTTCTTTTCTTTTTTTGTTAGAATGAAATCTATTAAGACCGCGCTGTGGCCAAATGTCCCCTGGCGTCTGTGTTTCCGTTTCCACATCGCTGTCTTTCACGCTCGTCCTCTTTGCTCTCGACTTTCATTTTTTCCCTCACTAAGCCTCTTCAACAATGCTGATGCTCTGGACCAGCTTCAAGCCTCAGAGGAAGGAGCCATGCTGGGGCATTTGTGCATGTCAGTGAGTGCGTGTGCAGGCATTCATGAGCATGTGTGTGGCAGTTGGCGAAGATAGCTTTTGACAAAGAACAGAGTATTCACACTGCTTTGCGTTTCTGAGCAGCGAAGATTGTTCTCTCTCTCTCTCTCCCTCTCTCTCTCCCTCTCTCTCCCCCTCGTTCCCCTTCGTTTAAAAACAGTCTGTGGGGAATCTGGGAGTTGTGGTGGAACACGCTGCCACTGGCGTAACTTCAGCCTGGTGTGCCCCCAGCCTGGAGCGGGGCAGTGTGCGAGGATGCTGCGACTCACTGACTGCTGTAGATAAAGGGTTAAAGAAAACCATACTAGCAGCAGGATGCAACCATCTGGGAGGACCACTTGCAGTGTTTTATATTCATGCAACCTCCTGCGGGGTGTGCTCTCATTCACACATTCACCGCGTCTTTAGAAATGCAGGCTGGGCCAGTGAGGTCCCGTCAGATTGATGGAGAAGTCCACTTGGCACACTTGTTGTCTCCAGCAACTTTAGAAAAACATTCCCAAACATGGAGACAACCCCCCCCCATCCCCCCCTATATATAGACATATGTGTATGTCTATATATAGATGGGTGTAGATTTTATTCCACAATGTTTGCATGGCACTGTTTATGTCTGACCAGTTAGCTCCAGTATCAAGTAGCCTAGCAACAAGTAATTCATGTCGTCAACCTTTTTTTTTTATTTTTTTTATTTTTTTCTTTTTTTCTTTTACAAAGCTGCGATCCTTCTATAACTTATAGGTCACTGTAGTCCAGTTTAGACCTGATTCACTGTTTACATTAAGGAGTAACTTCATGTCTGTTTGTAGTAGTGGCTGTAGTAATCTGGATATAATGGGTTTTTTTGTTTTTGTTTTTTTGCACTATACGTTGGACTACAAGCTTAGATATATTTTAACATCAAATTCAAGTCATGTATATGTATGTGTGTGAATGTACAGTATGTCAATATGTGTATATATGGCAATATATGTGTATAAATGTGTATATATATATGTATATTTGTCTTTGCTGTCAATAACTCAAAACATTTCAAAGAAAAACAGTAGATTTTTTTTGAAATCTTCACCCATGTTCCTTCTCCTCTCCCTCGTCTCAGGTGCTGATCTTCTGTCTTCATCAGTGGAACCATGTGCTACCCTGGGAAATTACCCCACCGACAAACAGCACGTTGAGACTTCGTTAGCACAACCAGCCAACCCAGTGCCTCTCCAGCCCGATCGAACAGAAGCAACCCACCATGACAGAGTAAACAAAGCGAAATCATGGGAATGATGAGGAAAAGCTATTTTCACGTGATTCACTCACTGCAAATCCTCCAACACCCAGGTGTGTTCACGCATTGGCACTCACGCGAGGCAAAGTTATTTTAAATTGATTCATTTTGTCCGCTATGCACGTTGACGTCTCTCGTCGTTAATTTTATTTTTGCACAATTTTTGCCCCTCATACAGTAGAAAAATTAAACAACACATTTCCACTACCTGGGTGTGTGTGTCTTAATGCAAATGTTTGTTTGTGTGTGCACATTTGTGTTTCCTTATGTGCTCTCGGCAGCCATGTCTGTGTTGCAGAGAGAGAGGAAGCAGAGGAGAGGTGCAAGTCAGACTCCCAAGTAAACAACCTGCAGAAGCTACAGTAAGTGTCAGTCTTCCTCCACCTCCCTGCCTTCCTCCTGTGCTTCTCATTCCTACGCTTAAGCAAACATACTCACCAATTGTGCTGCCAACTTACTGAAGCGCCCTCTCCACAAACTTCGGGGCTCTGCATCCCTGCTCAGCTTGTTGTGTCTAAATTGATAATTGAATTGACTATCGCCTCCTGATCAATTATGGCGTTCCCGCCCAGCTCTGAATCAAACAGTTAATTGGCCTGTGGCACGCCGAGGCCGAGACGAGGAGCGGGCTGGTGCAGGAGGGACCGTTGGGCTCCACGGCTGATCTGCATTGTGCCCGACTTTAACTTTGTGATTGGCTTTCTGGGTCAGGAATTTCTTGACAACAAATCAGCACACTGGTTGCTCCTTACAAACACTGACTATTTTAGTGAAGAGGGCAGGAATAGGTACCGAGCACACACACACACACACACACTCACACGCACACACACATGCACACACAGCAGGTTTTGCTGGGCTTTGATCACAGTCTTCCAGGTTTTCTCCTTCTATTCAACACCTTTTGTTACTTTTTTTTTGCTTTTTGACAAATGTCCGGAAAAATTCTTAGCCACCTGCAGTCACCTCTGCTTTGTCTGAGCACACGGTGAGCAAAAGTCCATAAATCCTTGCAAGTATTGATCCACCCAACGCCTTAGTCCATTCTGTCCTCTCTAACATGTCTTTTCACTCGGTCGACTCCTATTCAAAGTCAGCCAGTGAGACCGGTGTCAATGGGGAAGCTTGACTTTATTCCATGGCTCTGGAAGTCCCCCCCCCTCCCCCACACCCCCCCGGGGTCTAAACATCGGCCGCTAGACCATGACAAGCAGGGGGCTAATAGGCCGGATAGGATTGGAAAAAAGGAGAAGGGCTGTTGTTGTAAAAAAAAAAGTTTAAATACCAGGACACCGCCATCTGCTTTTGTGGCGTTGAGCATCAAAGCCTGAAGGAGCCCTGTTGGGTCCCTCTTTCAGATGGCCGTCCTACATATGGGCTTCATATTTCAACAGGACAGTCAGCCAGCGAGGCCCATTTGGCCACAGCCGAGGCCGCTATTCTGTCTCCCCGCATGGGTTCCCGGCTTTTGAAAAGAGCAGTGAGTTTACTTTTATTTCTCCGGAGAAATGTGGCTAATAAATGACCAGGCTTGACCCAGAGGATTTGGGCCGGCACCCCCCACCCCTCCGCCCCGCCTTTCTAAATGAAGGTACGAAAAGGCGGAGGCTCCGTGGCTGTGTTACTGTTGAGAGAAATGTTAAAGAAATGGGTCAGTGCATGACTGCGACGACATGCTCCCAGGGTGATTAATTATTGAAGTGACTAATACTACATTTGCCTGGAAGCACCAAAGACTTTAGTCCACAGTGTTGGCTCCAGAACAATAATCAGCCCTTCTTCATATTTTATGTTGTATCCATCTAACACTCCTCTGCTGTCTCCTTGTCTTTTCCCCAAGTCTTATGTCTTTGTGATCCTCGCCCTCTTCTACAGATCTCATCCTCTCCTAATGCCTCGCCACTCATTTTCTGCGTCTCTGTCGCTCCTTCCTGCGCCTCTTTCAGCTCCTTCTCCTGTTTCTCCTCCGTCAGTAGCACAGCCTCCGTCTTGAAGGGAGAAGATTGTGTTTCTGATGGATAATGTAAAGGCCAGACACACATAATATCAGTGCTGATGGAAACCAGCCATTCTTTTCCAACTCTGCTGCTCCTTTCGCTTCTTGCCAGACTTTGCCTGCCTCAAGGTAGCATATGGCATTCTCTCAGACTGCTGGACTCGTTGGCCTCCCACACAACACTATGCATCTATCTCTCCCTCACTCGCGGCATTTTTATGGGCTCTCCAACGGTTATTTTCTCCCACAGCCCTCTCCCCTGATGGCGGTGGAGAGCAGCGTCCCTCCACATTCTATTTCACGTGGCCACACTTCAGTGACATTCACTGCAGAGATGGCTCAGGTCTGGCAGTTGGTGAGAGGATGGTTGAGTCTGGGAGGTGCAATCATTAGTTAAATATTAGCCAGACTTTGCCCTATTCCCCCAACATCCAGAGGAGTGGAGCGACAGCCCCAGACCCTTTTAAACAATGGGCCGTAAAGGGGGGAGGGCTGTCTTTCTCCCTGCTCAGACAAAAACACATCTAAACCTCCTTTTCTCTCAGACTCATACAGATGGCATTCTCTTTGTTGTGTTTGTACACAGCACATCACACCCCTTGAGAGATGTGTTAACCTTACCAAGGTACAAGCAGAAGGGGGGGGGGGGGGGGGGGGGAGATAATGACCGTGGGGTCACAAACAACAACAATAGACGAGGTCCATGAATGTACAAAGCCGAACACGAGGCGACACTGTGGATGTGTGGTGCCTGCAGATGTATGAAGTGTAAGGTGAGGACAAAAGTTAGTCACCACAGTAAACTTGAACAGATGGTTAAAAAACAAGGAGTGCTGTGTTAGTGCGTATCTCCTGCGCTTTTATCTAAGACGGCCTGGGGGAACCTGAGGCTGTGCTGACAGTTAGTGACTACTGTTAGTACAGCCCAGGCTGTGGGCATGTGGTTGACAACAGTTTCCACCTGTAGGAGCTGCAGAGCTGGGGCCGTGATTGTGTTTCTACTGTTAAAACCATAGCTGAAAAATGGATTTATATTATTCAGTCGTTGTTTATAGGACAAGTAGAGTTAAAAGTAGTGGAAGTAGACCAGGAGTCCTCTGCTGCTTTACAAACAGTACCTCCATATAATGAGAGGTCCATGAAACTACTGCAGTGGCCACACCCGTTCACTTTATGGGGGGGTTTAAAATGCACTATAATAGCTGCACGAAATGTGTTGGGTATATATCTGTATATGTATGAATATATATATTTATGTGTGTATATATATGTGTGTATGTATGTATGTATATATATGTCTGTACAAATATGAGTACATATATGTATGAATATATGTACATATATACATATATATTAATATACAGTATATGCAAGTGTATCTTTTGTGTATATGTACATATATATTTGTATATCTATGTGTATATATGAATACATGCTCGAGTGCATAAATTCATATGTATACTGCATATGTATATATGCATGTGTATATTTGTATGTGTTTATGTGTAAATATATATTATATACTTTACATAACATGCAGTATACAGTGTGTATTTATAAGATCTTGTGTGGTGCGGCGGAGTAGTAGGAAGTTTGCTTTATAAAGTTGGGGATATAAGCTGCGACTTCGTTTTCATAAAATACCGTTCTGACCTGACAAAGAATACCTGACAGGTTTTATGGTCATTTAGGTTCTTTGAAAACAAAGCAGACAGACATTGCTTCTGACTGACAGCTTGATCGTCCAATAGTAGCCTGCTTACAGCAGCAGAAGGCAAATTTCCAAAGTTGACTTTTGGTTAAAGGGAAGTGTAGAATTGTACTTATTTCTACCATAGACTTTCATTCATTCAGAGTTACATCTAATGCCAGTTAAACCGGGGTCTGTACCCGAGTGTTTACGTCCATTATTTACGGTCTAAGGTAGCGTCCATCTTTTTCCACAATAATGCATTAGCTGCTGGAAAACCACCATTCCCATGGGATTATGGGAATAAAAATTTAAAAACACAAAATGCACTAATTTGAAATTTACTGTTACTCCTGACACGGGGGGATTTTTTTTCTCCCAAGATAAATGTCAGCGCAGTGTTTACAGTGTTGCATTTTTCTTATTGAATTTATTGTGCGGCTACACTGTGTCACACTGGTATATCATGTTATTTATATAACTGACAGCGTTGTCATCCGGGCTGCACGTCTCATGGAGGAAACACCAGCCACTCAGGATTTACAGTTCCAAACAGTACTGTGCCGAGCTCAGCCACACTGAGCTTTTGATTTCTTTCAAAATCACAGTAGAAAAGCTGTTTTATTTGATCGGATTTTGTCTTTGTCACTCAAAATAGGGAAGATTAAAGATAAAGTAGCACACCATAGCATATTTAAAGTCCTGTATCAAAGCTTTGTGCTGGTGTTTATGTGAATCTCTCTCTCGTAGACTCCATATAATCCATGCTGTGTTGGCAGTGAGGTTTTGGACCGGGTCTTCAGTGGTCTTCAGTGGTCTGGGGTCCAGGTCGGTCTCCATCTTCTTTATGAATCATTCTTATGTTAAAAGGAGAAGAAATGATCCCACATGTGGCACATCAAAGGTACCGTAAGAATGGAAATTATAGAAACCGGCTAATATTTATGTTGCACGGTATAATGTGACAGCAATGAATATTTACACAGCCATTAAAGGAAATAAAAGTAATTGTTTTTCCATGCTAATCCCATCTTTTTCTGCCAGCTGCTCTTTTTTCTGTTCTGTTTTAAATGAATGTTTCATTCATTTTCATAGAGTATCGCGCTGCATTCCTCTCCACAGGTAAGTCAAAGCAGATGGAGCTCAGAGTGGAGGCAGTCTGACTGACAACGCAGTACAGTCCAAATGAAATCCTTTTTCTTCTGGGTGCACCTTCAAAGTCACCTCCATCCTTTTAATGTCTTTTTATTTGCTTCTTGACAAAAGGGAAGTGGTCGAGGCCAGGAGACTGAGCTGGTGAACAAAAGTGCACGCACAATAGATTTGCCACAGGCAAAGTGAGCAATTAAAACCCAATTTCATACATTTAGTCTGACGGTCTGTCTCTTTATCTTCTCTTAGACAGTCTGACGGTCTGTCTCTTTATCTTCTCTCAGACTGGTACAAAAACAAAAAACGTGGACTTTTTTTTTTTACTGGTTGAAAGTCCCAGGTTAATGCTTATATTCCTGTCACTGTCAGCACAGACATGCAGTAGGATGAGCTTGTTTATGTTCATGTAATATCTGTGGCAAAGCTAAACTTAACAAGAGCTGTCAAAATACTTACATTTTTAATCGAATGAAAGTAGACATGGATTAATTATTATTAACTATAGATAATTCAGCAAAGCGACATAAATAAAAATGAAAATACTGTTTTTTTGTAGCAGGTAGATGTTTGGTGTGTGTGTTTTGTACTTAGTTTGTGACCAAATGACAGGGATATTAATATGGAAAACTGTCAAGAGGTTCTCAACTTGAGATTCCAGTATAAAAGAAAACCCACAGGTGGAGCAGACTGCAGAAGTCTGGATTCCAGTGAAAGTTGATGAACCACATTTGTTCAGCACGTGTCCAGCACTGCAGTCATTTCCTGTCTTTGATACTGGCTGCCGTCTGTCCTGCCTCCACATACTGTATCACGGCTGAGCATGAATTTCCAAAAAGTTGTTGAAAAATATTCCTTCACTGTATTTCTCTAAAACTGTATTTAACTCTTCGTTTATCTTTCCACGTATGGATAAAAGTTCTCATTTCAGTGATGTAGTTTCATTTTTAAAGCTCTGTTGTTCCAATGTAGTTTCATTTTTAAAGCTCTGTTGTACCAAGTCATGGAAGTAATATTTTCCATTAATTGAATAATTGAATAATATATTTTACCTTAAATGTTTAATATGTCATATTATATATTTGGTTGGGGTTTTTTTCACTTACTAAAATCTTTTTTTTTTTTACTTCAGGAGGGAGGATTATCTACAAGGCGGCCATGTTGGATTATGATGTTTTTACATCGTCTTGCAGTAGGTAAGCAATACTATTTTGTTTTAATAAAAAAATTCATGTCTCTTAAATGCTTTAACAGTGACAGTTCAGCTGTAATATTGAGTTGAAATATTTAACCCTGCCACTGGAGGTCACTAAATTCCATTCATGGTAGCTTTTGTAGTAATGTACACGTCAAAATAAACATATGAAAAAGGAAGCGACTACTTCACAATAAGACATCATACGTTTGTCTTTGTTAGCACTGCCTCAAGGCAGCTGAATAAATTCCAGGAGAAAGTGAAAAAAAATTAACGAAACTTAAACGAGAGGAAACAAATGTTAATATTTTTGTTTTATTTCCGACTCTTTTATAACTTTGGAAACAACAGAAAACCGCCTGCGAACCTGCGCCTCCGATCACCACACCCATACGTTTAAAGCTTTGCTCTTTATCATTCTCCAGAGCCCCCGGTGGAGAGAGCAGGGCAGGCACAGGTGTGAGCAATTAGGCGGCCTCAGTAATGTACTTTCCTGATTCCAGCTCTTTGCTCTCCTGAGTCCCAGACAGGGTCCACTGGGCCGGCAACACTGCAATTAGTTCAATTTGGTAGCGTCCATTCATCCAAGAGACCCCCCCCCCCCCCCCCCCCACTCTTATTACAATAAAACACAACACTATGAAATAGGCCCTGATCCTCTGTTTGCTACAGAGCGCAGCACTGCATTTTGGGCCACAGTGTCGGCAGAAAAACGCACTGTCAGCATGCAGCTCACTGGTTCATGTTTCTGTACCTTTTCTCACAGAGTTAAATAAGGGTTAGGCTGAACCCTCTCCCCCCGACACCCCATTATTGCTGTGGCAAATAATGACTTATAAACTTAAAACAAAATGGACTCTTTAGTGTTTGTTTTGCATTCATTTCTCTTTTATTCTGCTGTGACGTAGGTGACGGGCTGGATTTCACTCCCATCTGGCTGCAGAGGATGAAGCTACTGTAGAGCCTGACGTTGGAGATTAAAGCTCGGGGTATGTGCCAAAGAGGCGGCGCTGATGCATCGCACAGTCGCCCCATTCACAGTAATTGAGGTGCAATCTCTTGCCCATATGGCGTGTGTTTGCCGTGTACATATGCACACACCCGGCAGCATCTCCATACGCACATGTTCATAACCCTTAAATCAATTAGTCATTGGATTGTCATCTGGTGGTGCTGAGACACCCCACGCACACACACACACACACACACAGACCACAATAAATCTCTCATCCTCGCCCCCAAACTACCCCCCCGATGCCTGTATTTATGTGCACTGTCTATGTGCAGTATGTAGATTAGTTCCAACTTTGCGTACCAAGACATTTGGCACAGATTAAGGAAAGCGTTCCAAATGCACATAATTCATGTAGTTGATTTTACTCTCACTGAGTCGGTGTGTAAAGACCGGCACGTTCCCCCGTTTCCCTAACATGCATATGAAGCTTAGAGTTACTGTTGGCAAAACTGACCCTAACCACCCACCCCTCAGCACCTTGGCAGATTAGGAATGCACAGACACGTTCTGGTCATAATGTTCTTTAAGGTTTGCAGTGTTTATACAGCCGACACTCTCATTTAAATAACCGTGATTACTTTATTTCACTCTGTGTGTCTGTGTGTGTGTGTGTGTGTGTGTGTGTGTGTGTGTGTGTGTGTGGGAACGGACGAACTGGGAGACAGACAGGTTACAGAGCTAAAGTAGTGTTCCTCCACACTTTTAATTTCTGCCGATTAGCGCAGCCTGCTGTCGGGATTATTTATTGTTATATCATACCGTGTGCTTATTTTAATAAGGCTTATAACGAATGGAACCATTACAGGGCTGAGTTTAAGGCATGTGCACAGCAGTGATTACCTATTCAGGTTTTCATCATCCTGTTTTCTTAAAGGGGTTGCGGTGTTTTGGGTAACAGTGAGTGGCTGGTGAGGACTGAATCACATGCTAGTTAGTAAAGTCCTTGACTAGGACTGTCAAAATACCATTTTTTATTGGTTACTCAACTTCAAACCATTTCCTCTTGTTCTGATATACATATTATACACAGCTTGTTATTTGAACACGCTGTGGGAAAATGTTTTCTCTTCACTCCATCACCTTGACATTAAAATATCATTTTATTGCCCAGCAGGTGTTTGTGGAGGATTCAACATTAGGTAAGGTGTCTGACCAGCCACACCCAGTTGGGGGCAGTAAATTAATCTCCCGCTGACAAGCTGACTGAGGCAATGATTAGATCAGATTGGAGGAGCTGTAGCCTGATTATTGTTGTTGTTGTGGACAAGGACTTCACCGCAGTTTAGAAAAAACTCTTGACACGTTCTAGGTGTCAAACCCACCCTTTGTAGCTAAATGTTGTCTTATACTTTTGCATAATTTTGATGATTTTTACTTACTAAAAAAAGTAATTTTTCATATTATGTTCATTAGTCCTAATTAATCATGATTAAACCACAGCAGCTCTGTAATTAATAGCATTATAAATGTTATCTGTTGTTATTTCTCCTTTATATTTTAGTCCTGGAAACAAAACAGTGTTTGTCACTGTTCGACAGTTCACTGTAGTAGTGTAAAAAAAAAAAGAATAGTTTTTGAGTTATTTTGCTCTAAAACTTATCTGAGTTCCATGTCCTGCCTCAACGGAAATCGCATTCTTCTTAAAAAAAAGAAAAAAAAAAAGAAAAGAAAAAGTGAAGATTCAGTCAGAAAACAGAAATGAAGACTTCTGTTCAAATTACATGTAAACCATCACACTCGTATTCCCTCAGGATACTCCATGTACTGGCGTAAAAACGAGATAATACTCAGTTGTGTGGGCTTGCAAACATTGTTCAGAGCAAATTTAATCAGCTCGTCCTCCTTTGTCTTTTTCTCTGCGTTTCTTCCACTTTTTGCAATTAAGCAGGAATTTCTTTTGAAGTCGATCGCCCCGTTCTCTCTCTCTTTCTCTCTCTCTCTCTCATTGTTTTTGTCTGTACTTCTTCAAATTAGAGCACAGCGACCTGGCAAACACCACCCTGCATCGTGCCCCCTGTGTTTATACCACTGATATCAACCATAAACAAAAAAACTCTTTAATTAGGTTCACTGTACTTTATTAGTCCTAAACTCATATTTAACACACACACACACGCACACACACACAAGTTCACCAGTGTTTCCCCTAAAATCACACAACGCGACCTGCGTTACATTCTTACCTTCCTAAATAATAAGAACCATCGCTGTGTCAAGCAAGGAATGCTTAAACAGTGATGAGGACCTTTGTGTGTGTGTGTGTGTGTGTGTGTGTGTGTGTGTGTGTGTGTGTGTATCTTCTTGGATGCTGACAAGGAAGAAGAGCTCGTTAAGAGAAATGTTTTCTTGGCCAGGAAACAGGAGCTTTTTTGCTAACTGGCTTCCCTATGCCAAGATAATAAAGATGAGAGGAAACATCCAACATTTAAGATGTGAAACAGCGAAAAAAAACCACCTCCAGGTTTGAACGTGCGCGAGCACATGTGCTAACCTTTGTCTCAACTGCCTGGTTTTCTTTAACTCGGCCTCCTCTTTTGTCCTTTTGACAACTTTGGCCCGGCGGACTCTTTATCCCGGTCACCATGGAGACCCACCTTTAAGTGGCGTGGGAGTGGTGGAGGTCAGGAGAGGTCAGGCCGAGGGACTGTTTTGGCAAACGGCGCACGCTTCATTGGCTCTTTTGGCCTGGGGTTCATTAAAACTGCAGGAGAGGACATTCCAGGAGAGTCTATTAACCAGGCAGTCCTGTGACACGCTGTCAGGCCAACAGGTTTCAAACATCTTGTGTTAAGCTCAAGTGCCCTCCCCTCCACTGCCCTCCCTCCTGCCCAAATGGCCCACCTCACACACACATACAAAGACAAAGACACACAGCGGCACAGACACACAAAACATACTTGCACCGCCATCAAACACAAGGCTAGAGTTCAAAACCCACTCCAAGTCACATGAGCACACATGCACACTCTCGTGACTCGCTAAGTCTTTTGCCACCCTGTCGCCCCGCTCT